AACCCATTATGTAGAGAGCTAACACTATTAACAGCAGCTCAGAACATAATGACTTTAATCTTTCACAAGTAACAGCTTTGGTTAGTTATTAGAAGACCCAGTCTCTCTGGGCCTATAGTGAAAAGAACAATCTGAGAGGTTCAGTTCCTTCATTAATACATTAAAATGTCAAAGCTATATGTTAAAATGTCAAACCTATTAATGGTACTGCCAGTCTGCGGAGGTAAAATGTCAGAAAGAAAACAAAGGCAATGAACAAAATGAGGGGTGGACCGATGGAAATACTGAGTAGATGTAACAATCTTATCTGAAAGATTCATTCAAACAAATGCAAATACCAATATTGTTGTAACACAGCTGAAAATGAATAAATACTACAGGTACTGTAATTAGATGCTCCCAAGAATGAGTGAAATGTGTGTGTATATATAAAAATATAATATATATTTGCAGGTATTTTTGGTCCGTATGATATTTTTTTATTTATCTGCACCATTGTTTTTATTATCAGTCAGTTGTCCCTGAGCTCATTTGAGGCTAAATCAAAATTACAGTGTTTTTAGTACACAGTCAAATTGTTTATTCAGCCCATAAGAGAGTCCATCTTTCTTGGCCTCTGGAGGGGCCCCACTGAGAGGCTTCAATCACGCTGTAGGGGGTCAGTGACATAAACCACTCCACCCTGCCAACCCCCAAAGTCACCTTTCACTGATTGGGAGGTCAAGTGCAGTGGAGTGGAGGAAGAAAGATTCGATTGTGTCCCTCAGTACTATGCTGATTAATCTCAAGGGATGGCTGAGACTCAATATTTTCGATTTAAAGTTGACACCTCACACATCACTGGCTTAACTTTCTCAAAATATATATATATATATATAAATGTAAATTTATCAAGTAGTCAGGTTATAAAGTTGTGTTGTGTCCTGCACTTGTGGCACATGTGTGGTAAAGCTGTATATGCTAAATATGAAGCTACCAACAGCAGCCAGTGTGCTTAGCTTAGCACAAAGACTGGAAACAGGGGGAAACTATAGCCTGGCTCTATCTAATGGTTACAAAATGAACCACCTATGCTAAGCTATGTGTTAGTCACTGTACAAGCAGTTGGGCACATAAAATTGACAATATGATGTTTGATTTTTGTACAAATTAAACAAATTAGATATAACATGTTAATTAGTGAGCTTTAGAGATGCTGGTAGGTCAATTTGGTTACCTTTGGACAGAACCAGGCTAGCTTTTTTCCTCCGTCTCCAATCTTCATTCTAAGCAAAACTAACCAGCTGCTGGGTTATAGGGTGGTCTTGATCCTCTCATCTCTCTCTGCAAAGTTTAATTAAATTCAATTAAATTGTATTTGTATAGCACCAATTCATAACAAAGGTTATATCAGGACACTTTTTAAAAAGAGTAATAAGTGAAAAATACAGTTTTACCATAACGTCTGCAAGCTTAGCTTCTGTGTGAATGCTGTGCTGTCTTAATGGAGCTTGTGTGTTCTGTCCTCGTTGAGGTCTCCATGGCTGAGAGGAGGAGGTGATACTTAAAGTTGCTCAACGTCCTCCTGGATCCTACTTTCGATCCTACACGTATGTTTTACAAATCTACATATATATATTCATATATGTCATCAAAGTCTGTATAGATTGTGATTTTTTTGCTGATCTGTTCTGTTGCCTGTCCTCTTCCAGATCTGGAGAGGAAGTTATATAAATCAGGTCCCAGCTTCCTTCTGGATCCACATTCGTCATATATATGTTATAATCTTCATGCATCAGAAATTGCGTCATCAAAATTTGTATATAAAGTGACTTTGTTGGTATGTTCTGCACACTTTACATCTATGTCTGTCTGTCTTGGGAGAGGGATCCCTCCCCTGTGGCTCTGTGGAAGTCTTTCCTTCCCCGATTTGAGGGTCTAAAGACAGAGGGTGTTGTACAGATTGTAAAGCCCGCTGAGGCAAACTGATTTGTGATTTTGCGGTATATAAATAAAATGTGACTTGACGTGTCCAATTCCTTCAAGATTTTTGGGACAGTGTTCTAGTTGCAGGTCACAACTGGGAACATGTAGCACCAACTGCTGACTGAGACTACTCTTTTAGGGAGCAGAGCTGTCTATTCCCTGTTTTTTAAACCCTGTGTGCCATTTTAACACATAAAGCTGACAGAAACAATTTAATGTAAATGTGCATTCAGCTTTTTTCACCATTCGTACAAGACATTTACAGTTTTGGACCTGGCTCCGTGGCTGTAGCTATCACTTTGATATCACTTCTTAGCCATGAAAAAATACATTTATAACACTCCGTAGAGGGTAAAACCCAGTGCATGTATCTTTGTAGACTGAGTCCTGTTTGCAAAATGTTTTCTTTCTTTTTTTTCAACATATTATTGCTTATTATTAGTTTATGAACTGTCATTTTTATTCATTTACCACAACATTTTATGCAACATTTACATTTGCAAAGTCAAATGTAGAAAACATGTTTGCATTTTAAGTATACAGTTGGAGGAGCCTGCAAGACACTCCTGTCCCGGCATTTCTTAACAGAAAGCAAAAAGATAAGACGAGAGAGAGAGAGAGAGAGAGAGAGAGAGGCAGGAAAGAGGTGAATGTATCTCACTCTCCATGTTAGTTTGAAATGTGTTGACTCTTGAGCTAAAACTAGCTGGAGAAAGTGAGAGAGAGATAGAAATAAAGACAGGGGAAAAGAGAAAGAGAGAAGCATGAATGAGTGTCTGTTGCTCCTCCTGATAGACCCAGCTCGGCTATTCATTACTCCCAGAACGCCAGCCAGTGTCAGTTATATTACTGCAAAGCCGCCCCTGACTGACGGCCACGAGTGGGGGGAGAAAAATGGCAGCAAAATACTGCTTGATGCCCTGGGAGAAAACAAGGGAGGGGCTGTGATGGATGGGTGTGTTTGACCCAGGCGGGGTGGAAGGCAGAGATGGGTCTCTTCCAGATGAGACAGGGAGTCGGCAGAGCCCCTGCCCCTCTGCCCGGAGCATCCCAGCCTTGTCAGGATGAGAGGCATCTCGCTAAGCTGCTTCCGTCAGTGCTTCTATCACTTGTGTCAAAACAGACGCTCTCCATATTCAACAGATGAAACTGGACCTCACGTGACGGGAATACAGAGGCACAGCTAGGCTGTCCATTGAGTTTGTGACAGGCCTGATGTCAGCATGAGGGCAGATACCACCCATCTCCCTATAACAGTCCCAAAAACAACATCATGGTAGCATCAGATAGCTTTGGGATGAGTTTATGCCCCATACGGCCTTTACAGTCATAGAAAACAATCAGTTTTTAGGTTCTCAGCTACAGTTTGTGCTGTAACAGTAACAAACTGTGCCTCTCTACGCTGCTTCTGTCTTTTTAATAAAGGTCTGTGTGCTCTGTTCATTTCTGTGCTGGGGCGTTTTCAACACTCATCATCAAGAGATGCATTCAAATGTCATTATATGAGTTTGGCCTTGTGTGTGTGTGTGTGTGTGTGAGAGTGTATCTGTCCGCAGGTAACCTTCCATAATACTGGACCAATCAGTCTAATATGTTTTGTGCATATTTATGACTAGTTGACTAGTATGCTCAGGGATCTTTAGTGGTTGCAAAAATTTAAGTATTTCAATTACATGTAAATTTTCCATGTCATTTTATTATGTGCAATGTAAAGGGTCAGCCACCTACAGTGTTAGAGGCACACAGCCTCCTTATGGGATCTAGTAAAGTAAAGTTACTTGATTTGTTTGCATCCAGTTTAATTCTGTTAAATAAACTTATGATTTCATATATTTCAGTTACATTTGACTTAAAAACAACTTTCATATTATGAGGGCCAAGAATCATTATTTTGAATGAATGATCACCTGTCCTATCCATTAAAGGCATAAAAAGGCCACCAAAAAACAAGGCTTATAGTCTGTTGAAGGCCACATTTTGTCCTTTGTAGTGGCTCAAAAACTGACAGAATAAAAAAGTTTCTGCTGATTAATTTCATGCCTGATATGTTGTGATCCAGTACAATACGAGATTAATAAATCCATGTTTTTTCTTCGTCGCCATCTTGACTATAATATAATAAATAGATAGAATATAATTTAGAAAACATGAAAGAAATGTGGATTGTGAGGTTCATTGATGGGTGTGAGGGTGAAAGTATTCAAGTTTAAAAGAAGGGAATTATCACGCTCCCCTTAACATCATTAAGATTAACATATTCTCTATATTGAAAAACTATTTTATATAATTTTGTGGAACAAATTATGCAACAACACCAAACGGTGTCTATACTTTGTCACAGCACTGTTCACTATGTTCACTGTTAGCATACTATAGGTAACTCACTTACAATGTCTGTGAGAGTATACTCACTTTACACAGGGGTAATGAAATACTACTCACCTGTGTAACATTAATTTCTATTCATGTATGGCTCCAGCTAATAAACCCTGAGGCTATGGGCCACAGCATTTATTTATCCCTCACTCTTTTATATTGGAATCTCCATTTGGACACCCAGGTATAATGGCCTTCACACCAGCTCTCTCAAAACTGGTTAAAGGTGTTAATTTAACCTTTTCATCACTCAGTTATGACACATGCCGGAGGCCCTCTGACATCAGGTCATGCACCGTGCGGTTAATAACATTTTTGCCTGCAGCCGGCCATACAATGCAACTATGCAATAATGGTTTAAGACCATTGCTTGTTAGTTGGTTCCTGGGGACCACCAGGTGTCCAAAGGGTGTCAGTATTTTCCTTTTCCACATTAAAAAAAGACGACATAATTGTGTCTAACGGGTCAGTATTGTGCAGTAAGATTCATATTAGCTGTGCGCAGTTCACAAAGGGCACAATATGCAGAAGACTGTAAAAGGAAACCCAGAAAACTGCGCGTTGATGTTTGGTTTTGGTTGATCCGGTACTTTCCTCTTGAGTGCGTGTGACGTACGTGTTCGTGACGTCATCGGTTGACGTTTGCGGAAGCGACTCGTTGCTTTTAGCCTGTTAACTCAAAAACAAAAACAGAGGTTTTCGTGTTGAATCCCCCCCCCGAAAAAAACGAAATAATTTCACGAGTCGCTTTGATTGTGTCCGGCGGACATATCGGTTATCTCCCCGGGGTTCGTCAGGACTGAGGAGAAGATAGACTTCGCCCGAGATGGAGGTAAATGTTCAGGGTCGAGGAGTTAGCTTTAGCCGGTCTGCCACAACGTAACAATGCGTGTACAGCATCTTCAAGATATAATAATACAAGCTGATAATATAACACTGCACCGTTTGTAATATCGGCGCTGAACTACTCATGTTTAAGTGTACATAGACTTGGAAACAGAGCTGGTAACACTAAGCCCGCAGCAGGCTCAGTTAGTTACCCACTATGTGCTGTTTACTCAACAAACACATATTTATAATTACGTGACTTGGTGTTACATGATAATACTCAACGTTACAGTCTTCTGGTACAACTGGCACTTATTAATCCTGTTGCCTAACCGTGTTTCAGCTTTCTGAACTGAAATACTGCTCGCCTCCGCCATCCAATGTGTGAATGTTGACACTGGAGAATAAGAAGCTTTTTTATAGACTACAATTAAAAATAAGTACTTATACTTGTTCTGTGTGTGCCGAATTGTAAAGTGGATCCTAGTTAAACATAAAATGTTTTAAAACATGTTCTGTCAACATTGTGCTTTTGCCAACAAGCAGAGCAACATTAAACTTCAGATTTTCCAAAGGGAATACTGTGCTGACTGGTATTTAACCTGCAGTCTGAGGCCAAGCAGTCAAAAACAAACACCTGACAGAGTTTATACCTTTTAAATGTGTTAATTGCAATCTGTACCTGGTTAGGTCTGTCATTTATTTTTGCTTTCACTGAAACAGGACCCTGGTGGTAGCGGAGCAGAGTCTGTGGCTCAGTCACCAGCAGGTGCAGCCAAGTCAAAGGTACTGCATCTACAAGCACCTTGTTGCTCAGAGAGTCTATCAAATGTGTCATTGTCTAACATGTTCATTGTTAGATATGGTATAGATTTATATATATTGTATATATTGTATTCTCAGCTGGACACACTGTCCAAAGATGACCTTATCAAGTTTGCCAAGAAGCAAATGGCTGGCATGCAGAAGATGAAGAGCAGATGTGCAGGTAGCTATAAATGCTTTAAAGGCTTGTCTTTGTTTTTGGCCCCTATAGTGGACAAATATGTGACATTATTTACCTTTTTCAGATTTGGAAAAGGAAGTTGAAGCCCTCAAACAGCAACCCAAAAACAGTAACAGCAGTTCAGATGACTCCACTCTGATACAGGTTTGTTTTTAGGGCAGTATCTCAGCATGTGTCTAGTGTTAATATTCCTCTGTTAAAATACTTAATTTTCGTGTGTGTGTGTGTGTGTGTAATAGGAGCTGACTGAGAGGATGGATGCCTTACTACTGGAGAAGGCAGAAACTCAGCAAAGTCTTGCACTATCTCGTAAAGATCTAGAGAGGAATAAGCAGCAAGCCAAGGTGAAATACAGCACATACAGGATTTCTCTGAACACTCTGACATGTTGGTGTATTTCTGTAAACTGTAAAGTCCATTCATTGATGCATGTATGTTATAATGAAAACTATAAATGTCATAACATGCCTACATAACTGTTATTTTGTACAGGATGATCTTGCGGTGCTCCAAGGAGAGCTTGACCGTGTAATAGAAGATTACCAAAGGAAGCTCAAGACCCTAGAGAACAGCATTGAGGAATCCAACAACAAACACCAAGAAGAAGTGTCTTATTTCCAGAAATTACTGAAAGAACGAGAAGAAAGTGACCGGGAGAGGGAGAGTGAAAGAGAGAGGGAGCGCCTGGCTGAACGTGCGAGTGCCAAAGAGAGCGTTGAAGAGGTCCGCCGTCACTTAGAAGCTCAGCTAAAAACCCTTCGAGCCGAACTGGAAGCGATCCAAGAGCAAAAATTGCAGGATACTGTTGAGCTGCAGGAGAGCCACCAAAGGAAGTTGACCGAGGCCCAGCAAGAGGTGGAGAACCTGAAGGAGGAGCTCGCTCAGAAGAGTCTGCAGCACGAGGAGGAAATGAGGGCTCTGGAAGAGGACTGTGAAATTGAGAGGGATCGCCTCCTGTTGCTCCACGAGGAGCTGACTGAGCAGCTCGCTCTCAAAGGTATAACATCCCTTTGTTTACAGAGAAAGGTCCTTACAGGAGCTAGATCTGTTACAGTAAAGATACTCACTGTTTACTGTAGGTGATAACAAGCATTTACACTGTGTATACAGCTGAGCCAAGCCTGTTTGTGGCCTATAACTAACAATTCATAGATTTCATATTTTTTTAATGCAAAATCTATGAATTGTAATATATGTTTGAATGGTACTTAAGTATCCTCTAGTATAGTATGATTTTTTAAAATTATAATAGCCTTAATTAAGGCACAAGGTGTGTTTAAATTATAATTGTATAATCATATATATATTTGTGCATGTGTAAAATGACACTAATCTAACATTAACCTGATTTTTCCAGACAGCTTCCTGCAGGATGTGCAAGAGGAAGACGAGGAACCTCCTCGTGGTTCGGGGATCGCCAAAATGCTGGAGCTGTCTGGCTGCAGTCAGGGTGACTCCAGCCACGTTGATGGAGAGGAGACGGAGACTGGAAAACTGAGGGCAGCCCTGGAAGACCTTCAAGCCCAGAGCACCATGTTACAAGATGAGCTCACCCTGCTCAGTAATGTGAAGGGTGAGCTCGAGGCAGAGCTGGAGAGGACCAGAGAGGAGTTCCAGATGGAGAGAGAAGAGCTGGAGTTCAAAATCAATGAACTGCAGATGAACCGTGAAAGCACTGCCAATGACCCAGCCGTAACCCTGGACCCTGACCAAGTCCAAGGAGAGTTCCAGCAACAGAGTGAAGCATTCAAAGACGAAGAGGACACCCTTCCAGGTGAATCCAAAGAGTCATCAATAAGTCCTGGAGACCATAACCACTTGAATCCAGAGGAGCTGAGGGCCCAGTGTGACGCCTTGACCAGAGAGAGAGACTCTGCCCTGGTTGAGTGTCAACACATGAGAGACATACTGCAAGGCGTGGAGACAGAACTGGGTGAGAAGACGAGAGATTTTGTTCTTCAGTACAAAGCCATGAAGGAGAAGGGAGCCAGTACTGTACAGGAACTCCAGGACAAGATGGAACAGCTTAGCCAGGAGAGGGATGAGCTGTTGGAGAAGGTGAGAGAGGTTACAGAGGAGAAAAACACTCTGACGATGAGCGTACAAGACCTGAAGCTGAAGCTTGAAGCCTCCGCTGGTGAGGACCAGAAACTCCAGTCTTCTGTAGAGGAACAAACAACTTTAGCGTGTGAGCTGAAGCAATCTGTGGAGGAACTGACCAGGCAGAATGAGGAGATTCTCTCCCAACTGCTGATGAAGGAAAACATGAAAGAAGAGCTGAAAGAGATGGTTCACACGCTGCAGGAAGAGCGAAACAGTATACACTCCCAGCTCCAGCACAGAGAAGAGGAAATTCAAAAGCTGAACGACGAGAGAGCAAAAGAGGTCGAGAGGCTGCTAGAGGAGAAAGAGAAAGAGAAACTTTTGCATAGAGAGGAGAAAGAGAATGAGTTGAAAAGCCTGAAAAAAGAGAAGGAGGATGAAGTGCAACATCTAAAAGAGGAGAGAGAAAATGTAGAAGAGTGCCTGAAGGAGGAAGTAAAGAGACAGCAGGAGACGGTTTCAGCTTTAGAGCTGACTATCAAAGTACTCTCCACAGAAAAGACTGACCTCCAGCAGAAATTGGAAGAGGCATCATCTGAGCTTTCCAACGCCCAGGAAACAAGGGACCTTTTGGCTTCCAAGCTGGCAGCCCTGGAGGGGCAGTTAGAGCAGGAGGCGTCGGAAAAGAACCACCTAGAGGCGAAGTTGAATTCATTGGCAGAGGAGGCAGAGCAGGCCCGCGCCACCATCAGAGCTCTGGAGGAAAATCAGTCTGAAGCACTCGGAAACTCCACCGCAGAAGTTGAGGAGCTCCGAGCACGTGTAGATGAGTTGGAAAAGGAGAGGAGCCTGTTGAGGAGCAGTCTTGAGGAGGCTCAAGGTGTAGTAACATTAGAGGAGGTGCAAAAGGAGCTCCAGGCTCGTATCACAGACCTGGAACAGGAGAGGAGCATGTTGAGAAACAACCTGGAGGAGGTGGTGAAGGATACCGAAGGGCTGCAGAAAGACCTGGAGGATATGAAGTCAGTCAATGAGAAGATCAATGAGGAGAACAAGAAACTGCAGGCTCACATTTCTCTGATGACTGAGGAGAAGGAGGAGAAAGGGGAGATTGAGAATATGGAGAAAGAGAGAACAGAGCTCAGAGACCAGCTGAAAGAGAAGGATTCACTCATATCTCAGTTGAGAAGTGAGATCGCCGCTCTCCAGGTGAGTGAAGCTCAGGTTGTAATCACCATTATCGATCAGAATCACTGCTTAATAATCAAAATAATTAATTCTGATTGATTGTATTTTGCTTTAATTGACTATCAGACATGATCACACTGTCACAGCAATCCAAAAATTCCATGAATCAGAATCAGCTTTAAGTCATCTGGTTGATTGATACTAAATGTTGCAGCTCTAATTAATATTGTAGTTGTTATTTTTTGTCAACTGTAGGAGGGAAAGTGGAGAAAAAATCCTTAATGCATGTAGGTTTTTGGGAATGTTTCTCTCATGGAAATTTTGATTATTAGCAAAAATATTGCACGTTGGCAGCTTCAAACCAAATAATACGACACTTCCTTTAAAAAACAATGGTGATTGACGTATAATTTGAGTGTTTGTTTTCTTCTGTTTTTTGCTCTTTACTACTTTCTCTCTTTTTAATCCTCTGTCACTCTCTCAGGAGTCTGCGGCTCAGTCTACTTCCTCTGAGGAAAACGCAGCCAGTGAGATCACAAAGAAATTAGGTATGGAGGTGACACTTGTTAATGAGTAAGATAAACTAATATTTCAAACTGCAAGTTATTTTACTAAATATATGGTCTTTCAAAATGCAGTTTAGTTGGCCTGCTGGTGATAAATTATATATTATAAATTCAGACCTTGTAACTGCTGCTCTCCTCAGCTCTACTGGAGAAAAACCACAAAGAAAAGGATGAGAAGATGAACAAAATCAAGGCAGTGGCTATTAAAGCGAAGAAGGAGCTTGACATCAGTAAGAAAGAGGTGGGTAGAGTCAGTAATCAGCAGGATGAGAGAGCCGAAGTAGTATATGAATCGTGTCAGGAAACAGTGTTTAATGTTCAGACACTAGATAGCTATATATTATAGACACGTGTTCTCTTTAGTGCTCAGATTATTGATTGTACACTGATTAATCTACAATTTATATGATTTTTGTTACAGGTTGCAACCCTCAAGGAGGAAGTAGAATCACTGAAAGCAGACAGGGAGAAAGTGAACAGCTCTATGAAAGATATCATCCATGGGGCTGAAGGCTACAAGGTAGTAGACTGTCTGGGATAAACAAAAAACTACTAGAATATTCTGTTTAAATTCTGAAACAATTAATTCATTAATTCATTAAGAACTTTTATGTTAAGCAGTTGTTTATTTTGAGTAAGTGTACTGAAGTCAGTTATACATCCATGCATTTATCCACACAGTAGGAATTACATGATTTAATCATATTGTGTTAAAAAATGGCATTACATAATATTTACATGCAAATTTGGATCACTTTTAAATTGATAAATGAATACATTAGCCAATGATAGTCACTTATTATCACTGCACTGTTGTGTATCAGCTCACCAAAGACTTAAAAGCTTTGTTGTTTAACACAATATGTTGTAAAGATGCATATTTTACTGCAATTATTTCAATTGATTTACCAAATAATGAATTTAAATAGCGATTGTCAATCTTCACAGTAGATCCTATAATAGAGCACTAATACAGATGTAGTGTAATCAATACCTACTTAGTGTTTGACATGTAAAAATATGGACAGCACAATGCAATACTTACTCTGTGCCTGGTTCTATTTTGCCTCCATGACTGGAAAGAGGAGGCCAACATGAGCTGACAGTTCTGATCGTTAAATATTTGATTAATTGCATACATTAGTAATATGCTGCTAATTGGCAAGTGGAAGCATGCTCATTTGAAACAGACTTTTTGCGTGATGTCACTCCCAGAGGTCTCCATAAACAGCCCCCAGACTGCACTGTGCTTTACGACTGTGTCCCCATTAGAGAAGAAACCACTCTGTTGTGCCTAATGAGAGTTTTGTCCCACACTTAAATGTAAATGCAGCTGATATTTAAGATGCATAGTGTTTACCTTCACTGAGCTGTTCAACTGGCTTCCAGTAATGAATGAATATGTGTGTGTTTCGGATGCGTGTGTAGAACCTGCAGATAGATTACGACAGGCAGACAGAGCAACTGGATAAGGAGAGAGAGAAGATGGAGGCGGCGGAGAGACAGATTGCTGAGCTGACCAAACGACTCAGCAGTGCTGTCACACAGGTAACACAGATACACACTCAATCACACACACACACACTTAAACACACCCACACATAACCACTAACAAACGCACAAGCTGCACTCACCCTCCAGTAAATCTAAGCAGTGCCACTTTGTCCAGCAATACATCTCGCCAATACTTGTCACGTAACTCAGTTTCCATCTGATTTACAGTGAGTCATTTTAGTGTGACACACCCAGCTATGCTTGACAGCCCGGCCCCCACAAATAGCCCATCAGATGTGACTGTGTGAGCTCGGGAGAAATTTTGTTTATATATACTGTGCTCCCCAAGCTCATAACTGGTTTTTTTTTCCAATGAGAGAACAACAGGCAGGTAAATGGAGCGGAGTATAGCTTCCATCTGCTGTGTGCTAGTGCAACGTCATTTTCTGAGACACAGGTTTATTCTTGTGTGCGCTCATGGGTCTCGGGGGTGGCAGGCTGACTGAAAGAGTACGTCTGGACATCTCTGTTTACCAATCATAGATTCAGTGTTTGGCTGACAGATGATGGGAGGTGCCTGCTGCTGTTCTTGCTTCTGCTGCTGCTGCTGGTTCAGTGTTCCTTGCAGAGAAACCCCTCAGAGCCTGCCGCTGTCAGTTCTGCATGAATGACTTTTAAATGTGTCACATGTGTTCATGCAGGTTTGGTGCATTTGCATACATGTGCATTTTCAGGTGAAAAACCTTCAAATCAAATCAAGTTTATTCATAAAAACAACCAGAGATGTCCAAAGTGCTTTACAAATTAAAGTGCATGGCACATCAAAAGCAAATAAAATACACTGAAATAGTAAAAAGGCACATTAACACCAATAAATGGCAATGGAAGAAAATATATATAAATTTAAGGCAATATCAAATATGTGCACAAATGTATTGATTCTAAAACATTAAACCCACTAAAAGCAACCGAAAGCCATTGAAAATATATATGTCTTGAGTTTTGTCTTAAAAGTGTCAAGGGGGGTGGGGCAGCGTTTGAGTAAAAGCAGAAGGTTTTCTAAAGCTTTGGAGCTGCCACAGCAAAGGCATGATCTCCTCTACCTACCAACCTTGATCGTGGAACAGTTAAAAACAACTAATCTGAGGACTTCACACAGCAAAATCCCCACAACTGACTGACTGACTAAAACACAACTAAATACAAATGGAATTGTAGCTCATTATTAACCAAGTTGCCTTAAAGTGCTCTACATTTGTCTTGTTCCTGGGGGGTTGCCATCTTGGAGATGTAAGTTTATCCCTGACGGAGATAGTAATGTGGATTGTTTATACGTTTTCAGACTGAGACGATGAGCAGTGAGAAGGAGGACCTGCTGACCAGCATGGACACTGCGAGGAACACACTGAGGCAGCTGGAAGCCCAAAACCAGGAGCAGCAAAGACAGTTAGCCAATGTGGACAGAGACCTGCTGGCTGAGAGAGCTATGAAAGAACAGAAGATCAAGGTAGAAATAAGGAGTGATGGATACTCTGTAATACTGTTGTGTACTTATATGAAGTCCTGCTAGCTACTTTGTAATTTAGCTGATCTTGTCTTTTGAAAATAGTTCCTGACATCAAGACTTAACCAGTTGTATGTTTTTGAGGGACATAATAATATGAAATATACAGTATATACATACTGAAAATCTCTCTCTCTGTGCATGTGTGTTTGTGTGTGTGTTTGCTTGCTTCTCCAGGACTTGTCATCTGCCATGAAGGAGGTAGAAGAGCTGACAGCCCAGCTCCGCAAGCAGCAGCAGCAGTCTCAGCAGACTGCCCAGGAGCTGGAGCAGCTACGCAAGGTACACACACACACACACAGCTTCTCAGGCACCAGTGTCTCTGAGGGCCAGTCCAGTCAAGCGACTGGACGGGTGATGGCCGGCCTGCAGCTACAGCAGCACCTCTCACAGAGAAAGAGAGCAGTTGTAGCCCACAGCATAGGAACTGCTGTTTCTTTTCCATTAGTGGAGACCTACATAGTATAGCAGTGTACGCGGAAGCTGCCAGGAGGTCTGACTCTGTTATGTGTCCACATTGTTAGTGCAGCCCAACAAACAATTTGTTTGAGGTTGATAATGTGATTTTTGAGTGTATGGAATAAACAAATAATGAAACACTGGGCACTAATTTAGCAAAGATCACAGAAAGGTTGTTTATTAAAGATAAGTGACAAAGATATATGTATAATGATGGAGTATATTTAATTTCAGGGTTATTTTTAGCAGTAAATACATGATAATTGTAACTTTTCACAGTAAATGTCACTGGAATTACACAATAAGTACAACACAAATATATATATATATATCTTGAATTAAAAGAGATACAGGTCATCTATTCATAAAACTGTCACCTTGTTTACCATTTTGATACAAAAAGATTTCATTGTGTATCTTGAATGAATTACTTGTTTAAAAGGATTTAGCACAGGTCATAAATTACATTGAGAACCACCATGGTCCCCTTAAACCTAAGGTCCTCACTTGGAAACACACAAATCACAAATGTATTGTCTTATCCATGTTTATTATTAAATAATATCATAAACCTGATTTGGCTTTGTAAAATTATTTTTTAAAGTGTTAAAAATTCGAACTAAATATTGTCTGCCATGCAAAACCGTTAATTAAATGTTCACAAGATGAAGTCAATTGTTGAAAATGAGCTTTAATTTTAAATCTTTTTTTGTCCTAAAAGTTTGAGATAAGGAGGGAGATGAGGTTTTATCTGTTCCCTGTAATGATGTAGTATATTGGCTCAACCTCTAGGGGGCGCAGCAGAGCTCTCTTATGGACATGGAGATGGCCGACTACGAACGCCTGGTGAAAGAACTCAACACCAAACTCTCAGATAGAGAGGAGTGTGCTGAGGAGTTAAAGGCCCAAATAAACTCACTGACCCAGAAGGAGGACACACTCAAACAGGAAATTGGTATGTATGAGATGTTTAAGTACAATGTACACGGCCCTTTATATTTGTTTTAGGAACTCCAGTCTGCATTCACTGATTTAAATATTTATTAATCCTGCAGAGCCCTAATGATTTACTGTCTACCACGAAACTACAAGGCTCTCTGTTGCATGTCATTTTTCCTCTCTCTTTCCATGTTTCCTGTCAAGCTTTTAATGAAGGCAAAATACTGAAATAAATGAAAAGCCTACAGTATGTATTTCACCTTAACCATTTTTATTTGTCTGTCTGTGTGTGTGCGTGTGTGCACGTGTGTGTGTGTGCGTGTATATTTGTGTCTCCAGAGGCTTTGAAGTCCCAGCTGGACCAGGGGGAGGAGAAGACCTCCAAGATGAAACAGCTGCTGGTGAAGACCAGAAAGGACTTGGCCGATGCCAAGAAACAGGTCTGTTTTTGTGTGTGTGTGCGTGCGT